TTTAGAATAAAAATTAAAATATAACTCTGATATAGATTTTCATTTATGTACATGAAAACATATATACAGAATACAATCTTACAGCCAACTAATAACATGCCCTTTGTCCTGCAAATTTCAAAATCAAAAACACCAAATTTCCCCTTTTACTCACCAAAACATACACAAGATCGGAATCAAATTTCAATACAAACTATTCAACTGGAATGCAAAACAGTAAAAGGGATTTCCACATTCACAACTAGGGGTAGTTTATGCTTCTAGGTATGCCATGCTAGCCCCCAATTTGAACACAAAATGAAAGCATCACTTTTTTTCTCCTGTCATTTAGAAACTGTCTCACATTTCCCATTATAAGGTGATTTTCAGCAAAAGATTGTCCTGGGACATCATGTTTTTTCCCCATGTACCTCTTCGGCTCTGTTCTGCCTTCGTTGTAAGACCTCACCCACACAGTGAATATCACTATCAACGTTCAGGCATTTGAAGCAATATGTTAGCAAGAAGAAATGGCAACAGTCCAGGAAATCCTATTTCTCATTTAAACAAGGGAAACATCGTATCAGTAGCCATAATTTTTAAGTAAATCAAGTGGGCCAAATAGAGAATGATTTGATTTTATCAAATCGAGTTTGGGATGAAAAACGAACTCTAGCTATAAAAGCTCTGAGAATCAATTTCAATCAAGTTCACTCAAGTTAAAAAAATGATTTTCAGAAAATCTTTTAATAGAAAAGAATAGTGAATGAAGAAGAGAATCATTAAACTCTAACAGATACCAATTATAGCTTTCCCTTGCTATTTAGTTACTGCACCAAAGGGAGATAGGGAGTATCTCTCCAATAATTTCTTCTTTAGAAACTTCAGATACTTTAATCACTAAGGTTCTCTTCAGTGTTGCATGCTTAATCACAAGTTTTTAAAGACTGGAACCAGAATTCACCATCTTAGAGGTCTGGTATTCAAATCACTACAGAGATTTAAAAATTATCGGGTTTTGGGTGGTTTGTATTTTTTGTTGTTTTTTTTCTCTCTATGTACAGAAATAAATATAAATGGGTGCTTTACAAAATAAGTATGAAAACCCCTAGCACTTCCAAAACTAAGGGAGAATAGCTCTTGGAAAGGGTGTTTGGTATAGGAGAAAAGGCAAAGCCCACACCCTGCCTACATAATACAACACTCAAAATTCTATGAGACAAAAATTAGGCAATTGAGATCAATCTTCAAAAGGCTGACTAAAATCAACCTAGTGAAGGCTGCAGTAAGGGTCAAAGGTGGCAGTGTTAAAACTCTGGATCGTTTTCACCCATTAAGGAACAAATCCAAGTAAACACAGGAAATGATCTTTCAAATATGGTAAAAGCAACCTTGAGAGGTGAACAGCTCAAACTCTGGGTGACTCAAACTTTAATTCCATGAGGTTCCTTGTAAAGAGGATGGACACCTTCTCTACCCTATGGAACTCCCTGCGGAAGAGAATGGTTTTTGAAAAACAAAGAATTTCTTCTCAATGACGGCAGTACCCTGTTCCTTTTTATGTCTTTATTTTGTATACAGGGAATGTTTATTACACAGCACAAATATAGTCAAGAAGCCAGGGGCAGAAAGAGGCTCCTTTAGTTGCAGGGAGGTATTAAACATTAGACTTAGTGTCAATAGGGTGGAAGTGGTAATTGTATTTTTCATGTTAGAGACACTGTCAAGCATCTCCTTGGCCGAATGGACGGAAAATACACCTCTTGTCCAGTTCTAGAAGATGAGGAGGAGGAGGATTCACAGAGGGCCAGGTGCACAGTGGAGAGCCCAAAGTATTATCAGAGAGATAGAGATGTTGGTATCCAGGGAAGGGATGATGGAACAACACTTTGCATGGTGTGTCTCTACCAAAACATTTTTTGTTTAGGGGCTATAATGATATTGGGGTACACATGTTAAAATATTCCTATAATAAGAGACATGAACACAGTAAATTGATTGATCCTTAGTTGGTCCTGTCTCTAAGACAGAGGCTGGTGAGAGGTGAATCCCTTCAGAAGCAACCAGTAAAACCAGTTGCTGCTGAGCTGGCTCCAATTCATGATGACCCTCTGAAGGTTAGAGTCCACGTGTGCGGAGTTTTTAACAGTTGGCTGTTCAGAAGTAGAGTAGATACCCAGGCCTTTCTTCTGAGGTACCTATGGTTGGACTTAAACTCTGATCTGTCACTGCAGCCAAGATCATTAATCTACTGCACACCAAACTGAGAATTCTGTAACAGAATTACTTGCAGGTCCACAAACAATCTAAGCTCAGGAGTGTATTGTCAGCACTGGAGGGTAAAGCATCTTCTTGGCCCTAAGACATTTCTCAGCTCTCCCTGAGGGCTGGGGGGGGGCATTGTACACTAATGAAACCCCGTGATGACACATCATACTGGACCATCTTCTGCCCATGATGAAAGTCATCTCCTTTTAACCTCCAGCTCAGTTCCCATCCAGGCCTCCAACAAAGTTGAAAATGAGGAGGTGGCTGGTATCCTGCAGAAAAGTATCCTTAAATAGCAAGGTTTAAGGGCAGTCCTGGGCATCTGACTCTGTAGGAACCTCTCCAGAAAAGGTTACCATATCCTGCCTGGAGACCTTAGGCAGGAGGCCCTGTGGCCCCTCTAGGCAGGCTTCCACGATCCACTGATGTTCTACTTACTCCACTGTGGCACCTCTCCCTCCATGCCATTACCTGAAAGGGCATGAGGAGACGACATTTGTACAAAGTTATGTCACAGCCACATACCTTTCCTCCAGCCTCAATGCAAATGCAAAAGCAATGGCTCAGCTTGAAAAGGCCACAGTGAAGGATCATACAGGAGCCAACGCTAAGAAAATGCCAAAGATCTTGAAATGGGGACCCTTTCCACCCGCTTGACAGAGTTTAACTTCACAAGACTGAGTGAGAATTTAAGGCCAAAAGATGTGGCTTAGAAGGCAGTGGGGGTGGGGGTGGGAGGGACTGAGGAGGTGAAAACTGGAGCTGAGAAGAAGAAATGTGACTTCAAGGGAAACACCATGCACACTCGCATCCTGATACCGGTCCTTCCAGTACTGTGTGCAACACTGCCTCTGCCACTTGCAGCCTCGGGAAAAGTCCATTTGTAAATGATTAAAAGCACAGTCATAGGAATGAGACAGGGGAGACTTGGAAACTCTCGACCATGAAAATACGTCTTTTTTTTTAATCTGTCACAGTTTACAGAATATTCTGAGTAGTACTAGTGATCAAAGTGTTCAAAACTAGATAGATAATAATGCCTTAAAGTGCAGCAGAACATATGAACAATTAATAAAAGACCACCACTAATAACTATTGGAATTATTGGGTCTGTAGCCAAAGAGAACAAATCTAAGTAATCACTGTAAAAAAGCAAGAGAAGGGTGAGAAGCGTCTGCTTTTAACAATCTGAAGACTTTGTTTTCTAGCAAAAGGTTAGAAAAGGCCTTTCTTTTCTTTTTTTTTTAGCCAACCAGGATCACAACAGACTATTGTAGTCTCAATGGATTATAGGAATCTCTTAGGAGGCATTTGTATTTGAATGACTATCTCCCATGGCTTATGCAAACATGAAGTGCTTGGTCAAAAGACCACGCTTAGAGCCATAGATAGATCTATCTGCAAATGACACAATGGGCTTAATGAACTTGGCTCAAGAAATTTCAGCAGTGATCTGAAAGCCAGAGTGAATGTCCACAATTACAGAGCTACATATAGAGGTATACACTTGTTGCAATAGCTTCCATTTTCATTTTCTTGTTTGGCTAATCTGTACTCTTCTTTTCTCATCAGGAAGAGCAGGAAAGTATCCAGGGGAGACATAAATTCACTGTTACACTCCTAAGCATTCAGATCTTATAGATTTTCCACGTTTTAGAAACAGACGCCTGGAGGAGACACAGTGACCCAAGGTCTGAGAGTTAGTCTTAGCCAAGTCAGGAAGAGCCCACAGCTTGTCAGGAAGTATCACCAGCGAACCCAAGTGGAAGGCCAAAGAGGAACAAAAGGGCCCCTAAAAGGAAGCCTTGTGACCCGCTGCAGTGACCTTTCTAAAGGGTGTACTGACTTGTTAAAAGCTACCCCTAAGTCTCTCCAAATGCTTGCTCTCTGACACTATACGCTTCCTTCAATCTAGCATTCGGTATTTCTCACGCTTCCTTCAATCTAGCATTCGGTATTTCTCAGGAGCCAAATTAATGCAGTCACTCCTTGATCCCTACAATTATCAGAGACCGCTGAAGTTTGATCCCAGTTTATATGCAGGACTTGCCCCTACAGACTCCCCAGACTTCAATCACGCAAAGAAAATGGTCTCTACAGAATGAGAGTCTGGTCCTTTTTCTCTCTCCAAACTCCCCCAAAAGCACCCTGACAGACAAGGGAGGTTTAGTTCATCTTTTTACAACTTCATCCTGAAACATCAATTACAGTGTGTTTGAGAAATGAGTTACCACCGAGATCAAATTGCTGTGACAGCACAGGTCACTAAACCACAGTCACACAGGTACCAGTATGAAAGAAGCATCTATAAATGTGCCTGAGAATGGTTATAGCAAAAAATACCAGCAAGGTATCCTCCTTGGTCACATTCAGAAAGACAGTGACTCTGCCCTAGTTCTCAAAGGAATGTGGGCCCAGGTGGACAACTTGTTCAGAGAAAGCTGCCTGGTTTGGGGAGAGTAAAGGCAAGATATAGATATATATATATACACACACACACAAACATAAGCTCTTCCATATTCTGGCAGGGCCCGACACAGAACTTTAATTTAAAATCTCCAGAAGTTACTGCTGTGGGACTTCAGTGTGCTTTGAAAACATGAAAATATCGAACAGGCTGGTGGATGCAGGAGGTCTCGGTCTTTTTGGTGACACCATTTCACATATCCCGGAGAAGTCAAAGTTACAGTCCTGAAAACTCTCAAGCAACACGGCATCAGAAAGGCCTCGAGCCAGCTCCTGAGAAGTGGAAGTCAGTTGGCATACTGGGCGTAGAAAGCCACTTTGACTCTCTCAATCTGATGACACAACTTGATGGCGGGTCCCAGCTTCAGCTCCATGCACTCCTGCACCGTCGGGAGGGTCAGCAGCAGGAGTGCCTGACCATCGATGTCCTGCCAGAAAGCAAACCCAGGTTAGAGAACAGCCACTATGAACCAAGGGAAGTGGGCTTTGTTGTGAGCTTTGAGCCCATGTGCCAAACCTGCCAATGGGCTCTTCTAGCTTCACTCAATGATAGAGAGAGATGGCTAGAGACATCATTGTGGCTGGATCTTTTTCTGTCTATAAAGTTACTACTTTGCTTTGTCCCGAAACAACCTTTAAACCTTAAGCTAAAATGTCCCCTTGAAATCTTAAAATGGAAACAATAGTTTAGCTTAACTTGGAAGCAATCCCTGTCTTGAGCTTTATGTTCTTTTAAGATCTATCTATATGGTCCCAAACTGACAACAGCAACTTGACAGATAAGATAGGAAGTTTAGGGGGCAGTGAGTTCACTTCAATGGAGGAAAACCAACTTACGTAGTCTCAATAAGAGCAAAAGTATGTTAAAAAGATATTTCTGTTAATGAAATTGTGGCTGCTCCAAAATCCACATACCCACCTTGGAGAGAACAAAGGACTGAAACAGGACTCTGCTGCAGGAATTCTTTATCAGGATTGTCAACCAGGCAACTTGCTGGGAGAGTTACCCCGAGCCCAGCCCTTCCTACGCTGGGGAGTGTTGTGACTTAATTGGAACACTAGAAAAGGTCTCTTTACTAAAAGAAAAAGTTGCCTCACTTCCCTGCCAAAGCACTGACATTTTACCATCAGGATGGGTGAGAAGATGCTAAAGACATATATGCCAACTATGCAATACAGTTTGCCACAGAGGAAAAATACATGCACTTAGAAAAACACACACACGAACATCCATGAATATCTACAGACACAGGATAAGGTGTTGCTCGTAAACAGGTCATTTTCTCTTATTTTGTCTTACTTAAGCCTTCAAGAAGCAATGGCCTTATAATGCTGTAAAATTAGACTAGTCTGGCAACATAGTTGTTTGCTTGGCTTAATATTAAACTAAGTAGGTGACACAGTGCTTAAGAACTTCGGTCCTGGGGTTAGGAAAGCTTGGGTTTCATTTCTGTCCTGCTATTTCTTAGCTGGTCCAACTTGAACAAACTAAATATCCTCTATGAGCCTTCTGTGTCCATCTGTAAAATGAGAATTATGGGGCAAATGCTTTTCTTGTGGTTCAAATGTGCCAGTGGCTCAATGAGAGAAAGATGGGCAATCTCCTCCCTTATGATATAGCCTCTGAAAACTGGTGAGAGATTCAGCTTTGAATCTGCTCTGAATGGATGACAAAGACAGAGTGAGTGATAGATACAGAAGGGCTGAGGAAGAGTAGAGCTTTTCACAGGAGTTTGTTTCCAAGGCTGCAAACCTTTACAGCTGCAGGGAGCCTCATTTTTTTCTTCCATAAAGCAGCTGGTGGAGTCAAACCAACAACCTTCAACAAGCAGCTGAATGCTTTAACCACTATGCCACTAGTATTCCTTGAGTGTACTGAGTATCCACAAAATGAGAACAGCCCGTAAATGATTGAATTTGCTATGTAATAAAGCCGATAAAGGCTCACTCCAAGGCTTTTAAGATCATTTTTCTGGACATTATTTCTTCCCAGCCAGTTTCCTATAATAATTGTATTTATGTACATGCCAAAATGTAGTTTCATTATATTACTGACTGTAACAGCTTGAACCCTTTCTTTTCTTATTTATCCAAATTCTCTTCATATTTCAGAAAAAAAATGACAATATTATAGGGGGCAAAGGTTATGATAAAGATAAGTGGCAGAATTAGATCCTAAAGTAAACTTGTTGCCATTCTTGTGTGCTGTTAAGCCAGTTCTGACTCAAGCAATAATACAGGGCAGTGTAATGGCCCCATAGTGTTTCCTATCCTGAAAACTTACACAGAAAAATGGCCAAGACTTTTCTTCCATGGAGCAGGTTGTCAGTTCAAACTGTCAATTGGTAGCTTTGCCGCTAAGTGCAGGTGGAGTCCCTTAAATTAAACTTAGTCCTTGCCATCGAGACTGAACTGACTCGTAGCTGACTCTTCATTACTGTCAGAGAGGCATGGCAACTTTCTCACTGACCATGCCATGGGATCTCCTCAAATTAAACTGTATATGTCAGAATTTCACAAGCAAACACATTATCATATTGGGAGATTAATGTTACCACAAGATTATAACCTAGGATTATGGGGTCTATATGTGGTAGAGGTGAAGATACTGAGATTGTTAACAGTGTTAGTTTGCTTGGCTCCACAATCAACACTCTTGGTACCTGCGGCCAGAAAATTAAAAGATGAATTGCATTGAGAAAGTCTGCTGTCAGAGACCTCTCCAAAGTACTGAAGAGCAACGATGTCGGTCTGGAGACTAAGGTGCACCTGATCTAGGCTATAGTCTTTGCAATTACTTGTTATGTGTCAGAAAGCTGGACTATGACTGGAGATGATGGAAAGAGAGTTGACGTCTTTGAGCTGTGGTGCTGGAGAAGAGTAATGATTATACCATGGACTGCTAGGAGAACAAAAAGGTTCATCTTAGAGAAGGTGAAACCAGTCTGTTCCTTGGAGGCAAGAATTCTGAAACTGACATACTTTGGACATATTGCAAGGCAGAACCAGTCTTGGAGAAGGACGTCATGTTTGGGAGGGTGGAAGGACAGCGCAGGAGAGGAAGACTGTCAATGAGATGGATTGATTCAGTGACAGGGGTTATGGGGGTAAGGACATCAGAGACAATACGACTAGCACAGGATAGAGCAGAGTTTAGGGCTGCTATACATAGAGTCGTTATGAGTTGCAGGAAACTCGACGCACATAACAACAACAACATGTGGTACAGGATGGATAGGTAAAGGGAAACCAAGTCACTCTTAAGTAAGTCAAGACGATTTCAGATATGAGTAGATGCCTAAATCAAGCCCTAAGAGACCATCAGAGTTATTAAGGTGAAGATGGAGTTGGAGGGGTACATATGTATTCACTAAAACAGAGGACTCAATGACATGAGAGTCATGATGGCACCAGACCACTAGGTTTATAATAAGATGTCACTACTCATTACTGATGAAGCAGACCCCTCAGTGATACGATGGAGCAGAACTGCCCTAAAGGGTCTCAGGATATAATCTTTGGGAGCAGATATTGCCACACATTCTTCCCATAGAGCAGGTGGTGGGTTTGAGTCACAGAGCTCCTAACTACTACAAACCCAGGCTTCCTTATAAAGTCAATAAAAGACATTTTCGATTTCAACTTCGGAAAACACGTAAGACTATAATGTATTAGGCTGAATTAAGAGGTAAAGTGGAACATGTATAAGAAGCTGAAGACAAGAAAATTGCAAAGAGATAAAAAGACAGAAAATTGAGAAGTGCGACAAGCCAGACTAGAGTTATTATCTTCAGGATTCAAGAAAAGGTAGCACAATGTAGATAAAACAAACTTAAAAAAGGATAAAATAAAAAAATGTTAAAAATAAATAAAAAAGGATTTAAAAAAAAAGGAAAAAAATTGTAACATACATAATTGACAGGGACTTGCAGCAGTTTCCATAGTATACACAAGGGATACCTAAAAAGCAGTAACAAAATAAAAAGTAGTTAAAAACATTCATATCCCTCAAGTTGATTGAGACTCACAGTGATGTAAGGCTGTACACTTCATGGAAGGAGATGACTGCCGAACTTTCTCCCCTGGAGCCACTAGTGGGCTCGAACCACTGGAGATGCATGGTGTTTTGGTTAGCAGTGTGACTTACTACTGATAACACAATCAGAGCTCACCGCCGACTCCAGAAAAAGAGGGAGGATGAAATGAACAGTTATTTCATTAAAAGAAACCTAAATAGCAGACTGAATAATTTAAAAGCGATGTATGATAGGGTATTATGGTTATCACAAGAGTCCACAATTAAGGTTGCATAGTGGAATGTACTTGGGGAGGTGGGAGGGGTGCGGGGGGATTGTGTACCAGGGAGGGAGTCTTTCTTTTACTTTTGAAAGAGAGGAGCTAACTGGGGGA